CCAGGCTGGCCTCGAACTCACAGAGATCCACCTGGCTCTGCCTCCCAAGTGCTGGGATTAAAGGCGTGCGCCACCACCGCCCGGCTCTTTTTCTTTTTTTAAGACTACCTTTTTCTTTCTTTTTTTTTTTAAGGATTTATTTATTTATTATGTATACAGTGTTCTGCCCACATGTATGCCTGCACAACAGAAGAGGGCACCAGATTTCATTACAGATGGTTGTGAGCCACCATGTGGTTGGTGGGAATTGAACTAAGGACCTCTGGAAGAACAGTCAGTGTCTCCAGCCTGGTCATACTGTTCCTATACATTAGGGTTCCATTACTTTGGTCCTGTCTGCCTTACTGTTTATGCACCTGCTCCCCCTAATCTTCAGATTGTAATTTCTCTTGTGTCTGAACAACTTCATCCCCCCCAGTTGCTTTTGGCGCTGATGGTTTTTTGTTTCTGTTTTTGTTTTAGTTGTTGTTTTTTTTTTTTTTTTAATAATCCCTTTCATAAGCACCATACCTGTTACACTGTTTTCCATTTATAGTAGGTCTGTTAGTATAGAAAGTAAGGTTTTAGTTTACATTATCACATTATCAACATTAGTTAGCATGATTCAGACCATGCTCTGGTATTTAGTACATATCAGATTCTTTGGCAGCCAGAGTTCTCCGTGTCACTTAGTTTCTGCCGTAGACACAGTTACGCGAGGTTTGGAAGGTAAAATGGCCTGGGGCTTGTTCTGTTTTTCCTGTAAGACTCTGGTGTGATTGGTGCTGTTGTGTTTTTGCACCGTTCTGGAGCCACAAGTTTAACATTTGCTTTGTAGCTTCCTGATTTTTAGGGCGGCAATACTTGAGTTGATAGTGCAGTTCCATAGTGCAGTTTATAAAAGTTTTAAAGTTTAATGCAGTCCCTCCACCTTTCTCTCTTTCCACCCCACCCTCTCTCCCTTTCCTTCCCTTTTGTCTTCTATCGTCAAGAATCAGTGCTTAGGCCTTGGTGTGGTGGCATACATCTGTGATTCCAGCATTTGGAAGCTGAGGGAGGAGGATCGTCATGAGTTGGAGGCCAACCTAGAAGATGTAATGAAGCTGTCTCAAAATCCCAAAGCCTGTTGTCTGTCAGCTAACTCATTTGACTTGGTTGTCTGTCATGCAACCCTGGGTAGCACAGTAGTTTAAGGGAAGGTGTTGTACAGGTTGTGCACTCACGGGGGATGGAGCAGTGACTGCCCTGGCTAGGTGGGGAGGAAGGAAGGACCCACTATAGAAAAGAAGACAGACAGGTGGTGTGTGCAATGTGTTTCTCTTGGCACATAAATAAAGTGCTCTAAGAGAAAACCTTGGTAACACCAAATAGCTATTCCAGAAACGTTGGGCATCAGGAATGGAGAACAGGAGTGAGATGGGCTGAGGACTTGGTATCCGAGAACCAAAAGAAAGAAATGAAGCCTTAGTAATTCTTGTTTTAAGAACTAGTGATGACCAGGTAGCTGATGTCTTCTTTGAAAGAAGTCGGGTCTCTTAAGTGAACGGGTGTTTCTCGGGAAAAGGTGGCATCTCTGGAATTGGATTGGAGACCGTTGATAGGTTAAGATAGTTTGAAGCTTCCAAGGTTCCAGATCATTCTGCTGTCCTCAGCAGAAGCAGCCCTGTTAGCCCTTTTGTGTGGCTAGTTCTTCCTTGCTTGGATCCTCTTGTCTTGCACTGAGTTGTTGCTTGGCTTTTGTAGAGTTGAAATCGCTCTTCTCCGTTGAAGTTCCTTTGTATCTGGTTTGTTGTTGTGTGTTTGTTTACAGTGTTCTGGAGTCAGTCTGTAGCCCACTGCTTTGCTGTGTGGCCCAGCCTGACCTGCAGCTGTGTAGATTGTCCTTGAAGTTCTTTGCTTCAGCCTCCCATGGATTTGCCTCCGAGGCGTGTGCCACCACATCCAGCTTAGTAATTGTTGACTTACTTTTTTGCGACAGGGTCTCATGTGTGTATCAGGCTAGCCTTGAACTCTCTCTGAAACCAAAGTTGACCTTCAACTTCTATTCTTCCTGCCTTCTGAATACTGGAATTACAGGCATCTCCCAGTATCCAGTTTATGA